TATACTACATATTTTATCATATATATTACCTCGATCCATTTTATTTTCGAACAAGTGGTATCAGAGCTATTGATTGTGATTTGTCCGATGTTTTTGTTATTGATGGCTGTCTTGAAGTATGAAATTCTGCTCTTTGATTGCAATACAAGATTTTCGTTGAGACAAGTGAAGATGCGAGTTGTACGCGTGCAGATGGATTTAGATGTTGTGTTGTTGGGATTTAACATAATGCTCACAACTTGGACGAAGGTAGAGAAACAACAGAAGGATCGGAAGGCACTTTCACAGATCTATCTTCATCTATCTAACAATATTCTTTCAGACGATATGAAGGAAAAACGGTAGCTGCGTTGTGGTTGAAATTGGAGCAATTGTACATGACTAAAAGTTTAACAAGCAAATTGCATCTATGTACATACTATGCGTTGAGCATTCTAGTCTAGAGAAAAGTTAGCAGGGTGACAAAAGATTGTAGTTGACATTTTGATTAGAGAAGTGGCTATCTATCTTGTCGTCATCACGGATTCGTTAATCGGTGTTTACTTCTTTTTTTGTTTTGTTTTTGTATTCATATTGCTTTTTTCTCCTTTTCACTGCATTTGCAAAATTAGAGCTTGTTTGAACCCCATTTTCTTTTGAGAATGCATTTTGGAATAGTAAAATGATGAAGAACGTGTGGTTAAAAAATAAGGAAAAATTTTGAATTTGTGTGTAATATTATTTTATTGAAAATGTATAATTAAAAAGAAAATAAACAATGTATTTTAAAAATATTGGGAATCAAACAAGGGCTCTTAATAAGAATATAATATCGTGATGGCAGTGGCAGATCCAGCATCTTGAGTGAGCATGAGCGGCCGTTGACCGTGGACGGCAATAAAATATTAAGAGCCCTGTTTGATGTCCATTATTTTTTTAAAAAAAATGCATTTTGGAATAGTGATTTGATGGAGGATGTGTGATTAAAAATAAAGAAAATTTTTGAATTTGAATGTAATATTATTTTATTTAAAAATATGTGGTTAAAAAGATTATAGAAAAGTGTATTTTGAAAAAAGGGAAATCAAACAAGGTCTAAAATTTAAATATAATAATTATTTTGTTCAAAGTGAACATATATAATTCTGTTATACAAATTAGCAATATTCACCAAATGATATTGTGACCAAGTTTTGTATAATTCAAAGAAATAGCATGTGTTCGAATTTTTAAAATTGCATTAAAACCGATGAAATTTAACATATATTATTTTGGTAAGTTTAGTGTGAAAGTTCAATAAGTGTCATAATGGTCAAGTCTTCAATAATCTTAATTAATGAAAGGTCATAGGTTCAAATTTGACAAATGAAGAGCATGGGTTAAAATTTTTACAATTACATTAAAACAACTGAGATTTACCATATACTGTTTTGGTAAGTTTAGTTTCAAAGTTCATTAATTGTGATAACGGTCAAGCTTTAATAATTCTAAGAGAATGTCATGAGTTCGAATCTCCTCTCTATTGTGTTAATTTTTGTAAAAATTGTACAACTAAAAAATTCCACAATAAATTGGTTAAGAAAGGATTCGAAACCAGGACCTCTAACATGAATATGCAAGTTATAACTTGCTAAGTTACAAGAAATGTTTTAAAATAAAATGAATTACTAGTTATATAATCTAATAAGTTTATCTATTATCAACAAAAAAAATGGTTCCCAACATATCAGCACTCGCGGCCGCTTGGACTCGCCAAATGCTGGATCCGTCACTGCGTGATGGCCAAGCTTCCAAAAGTAATATTAATATGAATATAATAGCACAGTGGAGATATTGTAATAAAAGGGATTGTATTAATAACTTTAATAATATCCATTTAATTTTGAATATATTCTTTAGTAAATTTGGTAGTGTACCTGAGCCCCTCTATCGTGTTCTATATATTGGGTTTTCACTTTCCACACAAATCACATATACATGGTCATATATAATATCTACACAGGATGAGCCAATCATATATAACCAACATAAAAGATCATATATGGCGATATATTTTGATTTATGAACCCCTTTATATTGCGTAGTGTATGCGTTTCTACACAATATCAGACCAATCATATAAAACTATAACACGTGGTTATATATGATATATCCACACACCAATCATATATAATTTTCACAAGGAATCATTTATGATATGCGTGAACTTCTAGACAAGTATAACTGTTGTAGTTTCCATACATGATTCAAACCGATCATTGAATACGTTTCACAATACACCATAGTGTCCGATGGATCAGTGCATGACATATAACCTTATGATGCATGATATTAAATATATTTCCATGGTATGTTGCGCCCAACATTTCGCTTCTGAGGTCACTAGTTGACATCCACATAGACTTCAGATAACATAGTATCCAATTTCACAGAGTTATCCAATTATATCGCACAATATCAAATATTCGATGTCACGTAGTAACAAGTAAATCACATATGTAGAGACCTACATGTTTTATAAAATAAGGTTGCAAGCATTGAAAATTATCTTTATGGTCCGTTTGATTGCAATTGTGGAAAATGAATTCTTGAGAAAGTAATTGTCAAGAAATTGTTTTCCAGGAAATTGGAAATTAAATGTGTTTGATTGGTATAATTTTCCCTCAAAAAATTTTTAAATTTTTTATTTATTTGACTTTATTTTATATGAAAATTATCCATGAAAGTGATAATTTTTTCCACAATTGGTTATAAAATTTGTTTCCATTGCCAAAAAGTAAAAAAAAAACGAATTTTTTTTATGAAAGTTTAGTGTTCGTTTTAAATGGAAATTGTCAATTAAAGTGA